GAGGCAGCAGAAAGGGGGCGTGGCCGTGTCTGTGGCAGTGGCAGTGAAAGCGGGAATCCCCGGTGGCACAACAGGCCAGAGTTATGCATTAATAATGCAATCGCAAAGCAGCCCAAGAGCCAAAAACTAGAGCAAGCTCATTTGGAGGCACACACACGCGGGCCTTGGCTTTTGTGAGGCACTGTGTCGGCATGTTGCATACTTTTCTGGGCATTGTGCAACAATAGCTGCCGCTTGGCAACAACAAATTATAATGCAATTGCAAATGCTCGTCGTTTGTTCATTTCTGTGTCCGCATGTGGGTAAATTTATGCATTCTCTGTGCATTTCCTGCATTGACATTTACTTGGGGTTATTACCAATGCCAGGGGGCCGTCGTTTCGCATAAATGCAAACTGCAAACTGCGAGCTGCAATTGTCCTGCCAAAAGCCCTGCTCCACACCTATCCCGCCCCCTGAATCCACCATCATTGTGGTTTTTGGCATTTTTCCGCCAATTGTTTTTGGGCCGGACATTCAACACTTTTTTCCCGGCTGCTGCGGTCAGCCGCATTTCCAGCAGAGTATTTTCTTTGTCGATTTCAGCCGGCGAAGTCTTCATCTCTGGCCTCGATTTTAACTTCAGTTTAAGCCATGAAGTTGTCTGGCAACGTGATATTTATTTTTCTTATAAATACTCAACAACCAGACAGTCCAGGGAGGTGAACGTTCACCCAAGGGAAATTGAGAAGGCAGACATTAAGTGTTTGGCCCATGCACATTGCACAAGCTGCCATGGTTAAAGAAAAAAATTCTTTTTACTTCTGAAGAATTATATATATTAAATCCTCTCTTTTTAACTCACCACTAAATCATTTTTTTAAACTAGTTAAAATACCATTGCTGTAATATAAAAACTGATATTCTAATTATTTATGCTTTTATCCAATATATTTAAAAGCTTTTAAAGCAGAGAGTATGCAAAGGCTGCAGTACCAAAGTTTACCCGAGTGCATTAAATACTGAGTGATTTCTTTAGAGGGATTTTGCCATCGAGAATGCAAACGTTTTGTCTGTACTTTATTAAGCGCCTTTCCCCCTCCAAAAATTGAATTAAAGCAACTTGTTGCACTTACAATACTGTTGATAGGAAAACTTTTAATCGGCTTAATGCACAGCGAAACTATATAACTAATTTCTGGGTAGGCAAACCGATAACAGCAGCACAACATCCACGAACGACCGAAACTTTGCGGTTCGAACTCGATGACACTCACACTCGCATCTTCCAAAAACATATATGCACATAGGCACAGTAGAGCTCCAAAAATGTGGAATTTACATAAGTAAAATATTGGCAAGTATATTAGTTAAAAAAGAACACTAATTTTTAGGCGCAGAACAAGTAAAGTTTTTAATTGAACTGCATTGAGTATGGATATGTTTCTCTATTTATTTACAAAACTATCATTACCTTTTAAGATTTAACCGAGAGTCAAACTTACCTGATAATTTGACTGTAGTAAATGTTTTTACTCTACTCATACTACTTTTAAAATTGATATTTTTTTATCCAGCAAATATTTGTTTTTAATTTAATTTTTTTTGTATTCCTTAAAGTATACTCTCGACCCTATAAAGAGTCCCATCGTTATCGCACTTAGCTGAATATGCATAAAACTGTAATGGTACATAATTTCAATGCCTGCACAAACTTTAATTAAAACGACTTTGCCGAGCGGTAAACATCAGTGTCCCAGGCGACAGCCGCACACAAAAACATATACATTTGGCACCCAGGTACATGCAACCTCACAGATACACAGATACACAGATACGCAGATACGCAGATACGCAGATACACAGATACCGATACAGGACATGTAGCTCCTAATGAAGTGCATGAATACCTCAACGAGATGGAATCACCCGAATTCTATGCTGTAGTACTATATGTGGGTGCGGAGTCCCCTGGCTGTGTGCGTGCTCATAATCATTTTGATGGGCACGTAAAATTCAAACTAAAATCACTAGAGCGTTGGCAAACAACGACGCATCTGCCAAAGGCAAGGAAAAATACGTAGAAAAAACAACATCAGACCAACCGGGCAGGAAACTAATATACAACATTTGCACGTGACTTTGATATTGAAAATGCTTAATACGGCTGGCAAACATCCGAATGTGTGTTTGAGTACACAAAATGGCAGGTCAACAACAACTGGGCCCCATATCGGATGTTAACCGGATTTATGTACAAACTTTCCTCGATTTTAATAATATTTATTCCTATTTGTTTGCCCTGAATGTTTCTGCATTTTACCTCCTTCAGTGAAAGTCAATTTATGGCCCCTACTTGTTGATACTTACAATTTCTATAGTTGTCTGCCCTGACTTCACACAATTGCCACATTAAAGTGTAAATAGTTTTGCCATTGATCAGAGCAGCGATGGGAATACATAGTTGCTTCGAACGTGTTTCGAATTTGCGAAGGAGGAAAATGCTGACCACAGTTATGGGGGAAAGTCTTGACCTCAAGCCGAATTGAAAATCTATTGAGTTTCGTGGTTTGGATGGCTCAGTGATTAAACGGAAGCAATAAAACCCGCTGGCCGGGCTCTAACTTATTGGAGCTGGGGCAGCTGTGCGTTAATCTGATGTAATAATTAGGTAATTAATCATATCACAAGCAGATACCCCCGTCATTTGGCCATTAAGTCGGCCCACTCTCGCGCGGAAGTCTTGAACCGAGAGCGTGGGCTCAAGCTGCTAATTAAAGATAAACAAAACACTTTAAGCCCCACAATATGGCGGCAAAAAGGGGGTTTCCAGCCCCATTGTGTTTTATGAAAATTGAAAAGAAAATATTTAATTATAAGCCCTGGGCAGCAGACAGAAAATAAAGCGGAAAAGCGTTTACCTGTTGAAGAAAATGACGGGGAAAGCCCCAAGCAAATATGTGGGAGGCTAATGGAATTCATTGTTCGGCTTCCTGGGGAAAAATGTTAGGATAATGCAATAATAAACTATTAAAAAATATCATGGAATGGTGTTCCAACAATAGATTTTATGCTTTTTGAGAAACACAGATATTTTTACACATCAGATGTATAGTCTCATTAATATATATCCTTCAAAGGACCAAATAAAATTGTTGTTTAACCCTTTGTAATCCTGGGATACCATTTCATAGATTCCTTTTATAAGCCGTATAAATGGGCAATAAAAAAAGTAGGTATGCGATTTTAAATACAAACTTATGTTATAAAAATAACAAAAGAAAATTTAATTCATAGAACCTTTCAACAATTTTGAAAAAATTGAATATCGATTCATACATTCCTTATATAAACAGTATAAATAGGCAAAAAAACATTGGAAAGCGATTTTTCATTAAAATTTTATTTACACAAATATAAGAGAATTAAATTCCTGGAACGCCCATATAACTAAATAAACCCCATGGTTTGGTTCGCCTGACATGCCAATTAGGCTAACACCCTTGATTATGAATAAATTGCAGAAATGAAGAGGGCAGTTGGGATGGGAGTGGGGCTATAAGGCCAGACGGAGTGGGGATTATTATGAACAAAGGAGGGCAGGAGGCCCAACAATTTAAAGCTCATCAATTCAGGACAAAGCAGCGCGTTGAAAACAATTGAGCAGTTAATGTTTGTTTACCCCACGTCCGCACAAATAAAATGTGAGAAAAATACAAACAACAAAATAAAAAGATACAAGAGGGTGGACTCAAGTGAAATTTTGAGGAAAAAATACATTTGCTACTTTGCTTTTCTCTTTTCCTTCTTTTTTTCAGAAGCCATTTTTGCGGGCAACGGCAGAAACTTTTCATAATTGAAATAAATAAAATACAACCAAGACAAAATTGGAGAATAAATATATACGTACATTTTGAGTTCACTGGGGAAATCGGCCGATGAGCGTCCATCTATGTTTGTGTATCAATGGAAACTCATTTATTCGAAGGATATTTTATAAATAATGGGATTCGTTTTATGCCCGCCGGACTCGTTGGGGCAAAAATTTAATCAAGCTTCGGCCAGGCGGGCGGCGCAAATAATTTTCGCAAATTCATTTACGCATTTCATTTGCCACACCGCCCTAGTTCGATATCCTGCCGCTGCCCCCCGTTTTTTTTGCCGCTGGCATGCAAAGCGTTTTTTAATCCCCGGCAACTTCTGGACGCCCCGAACAAACGCATTGGCCAATTTGTGGCAAGCAGGAGTGAAAAAAAAACAGAAAAAAGAAGAAAATCCGAGGGCGTTGAGGTTCCGAGGAAAATGAATAAGTGAAACTGAAGGTTGAAGGCTACGCCACAGCCTGTGGCGATTGCAGGAGTTGCAGGACGAACACTGCGAACATTGACAAATGGGGCGAGGCCACTGACCGGTTTACTCGGTCATCCATAAGATTCGACTGACGAGCGGAAAGTTGCTCAATTTGGGCCGTCCTTGCCGAAAGGCACACGATACTATGTTGACAATTATCATAATGAGTGCGGCAGCTGACAGCGTTAATAGGAGAATAAGTATATACTTTGTTCAATTTAATAAGTAAATGTGTGTACCTGTTACATTTCATTTATTTACCCGTCATCTGCCTACCTAAATAATCCCATCAAAGAAAATGCATACTTTAGTGAAAGATGAGACCTAACAGACATTAAATATATTACATTTTAAAGAATAGTTGGATTTCAAAAAATAAATTTACATTAGAAATTGCTGATCGATGTAAAAAGTTATTTATTGTAACGTATAAATTTATGTTTACACTTTTAAGTCTTTAACATATATTGTGATATATTTTATCTTAATAAATTAAATTTTCCAAAATATTTGGTTGAATACCTAAATAAAACAATAATTTTTTTACAAGTTGCTAATCAAACTAAGATTTTATTCATTGTAAAGTATATATTTACCTTTAAGTCTTTATCATAATGCTTTTTAATAAATATTTATTTATTAGTTTTAAATATAAACTATATATGGTTTGAGAAGATTAACAAATACATGTTCAATGTTCTTTTTTCAATTTAAACAAGTACAACACGTTTCATTTTCCTTAGTTGGTTGTTCGCTTTGGCTGGCCTTGTGGCTTGTCGAATGGTGCTTTGAATTTTCGACTTTGCAAATGTCAAAGTCTAGTTGCTTTGGCAATCGGGCTGCCTTAGCCCTAGTTACCAGGCACTGAAATACAAAGCAGAATGCCATTAATATGACTATAATGCAGCCCAAACAGACGAGGAGTATGGGGATTTTCCAAAACACTTCTTCTTGAATAGCGCTTTTAGGCTTTATATTCTTCTTTATAAAGCTATAACACTCCTCCGTGCTCATTAGACCATCTTTAGATTCCCGCTGAACTTTATGTGGTTGATGATTTGGGGAAAACTTTAGGCGGCTTTCAGCACAAATATTGTTAAACCAATTCATTATATGGAAATACTTTTGGGGATCAGAAAATATATTTTACTTTACCTTGTTGAGATCTTGAACAACGCCTACTGGACTTCAATGTTTTTGATTATGGCTGTAGTATGGTTAATCATGATGTTCTAAATTAAGTGCACAAAATAAATTGAGTCGTTTGCTTGGGATGGCGTTCCCAAAATCATTTAGCGCTGCATTGTGCTCCATTTAACAAATAAAATATCCTTTATTAAGAGATTGCTTTTAACCCTTTTGGAACCCTTTAAAAAATACAAAATTCCAAAAGCCGGAAATGCTCTTATAAATCTTGAGTTTAAATTTCTTTGCTTTTATTAAGCCCAAAGTAAAGGAAAAAGGCACTGTTTGCGATAAACTACCTGGGCAACTTAAAGCCAAAGTCGAGGGCATTCCCAAGACTATTTGCGACTGCTTGTTGGGTCCTTTGGCAACACAAACTAAGTATGTTGATCCAATCAGAGGGAGCAGCCGCAACCAATCGTCACAGGGGGCGGAGGACGTTCAAACCCCCAAGATCCGGTGAATATATTTTCCTTGGGATTTGCGGCGGGACTCGGATTCGGATTCGGATTCGCATTCGTCTGCCGTCTGTCAACTGTCGTCGGTTGTGGGTCGGTGGTTCACGTTCCGACCCCTAACCCTTGGTTATTATCATGTAGCCGGGACGACTGCATCGCACGACTTGGTATTACTTTTACTTATTTTCATATTATTCGAGAGGCAGCGCGCTGTTCTAGTTTCAATAACTGTGAATGTGAATAAAACCGAATGAATGAACTGGCCAACCTTGCCGCGGGCTCGACACCCGGTGGCCCAGTGGGTGGCGCTCGACTTTTGCTACTCTGCTTTGTGTTCGGTTTATTAAAATATACATTTTCCCTTTTTTTTCATTTGGCTTCCTTTCTATGCGCAGCATTCTATTTGGCCGTGTCTATGCGTTTGGCATGGCGTACTCCTTAGCCTGGTAAATTTTGCAGAAAATGCTGTTCATGATTCCTCCTCTTTTTGAACGACGCCGCAGGTCAAAATGTCAGCGCAAACTGGACAGTAAACTAGACGTACAGTAATTACTGAAAATTTAAAAATGTTTTAGTGAAATGAAAAAGAATTTTTTGCAGTTTTTAATTTAATTTTTAATAAATGCATAATTTGGTTGCTAGTGCTTTAAAGATAATTCTTTCAAAACAATTCATAAATTTAAATATAGAATAAAAGCCACAGTAAAATAATTTACTAAAATTTACTTGTTAAATTTTTTATTTTATTTTACGTGTTTATGTGAATACTAAAAACGATTTAAAATGTCATAATTTTATTTATTTGTATTTATTAGCAAATTTCTCCAAGTCCTTACACACTTAAAACATTGTACACTTCTAAATTGATTTGATTATCTTATTTTCATTTTTAAATGAACACTGTACAACTACAATGTTGCTTGATTTAATTTTGTATTCATTTTAAGGCTTGCGGCCTTTGCATATTTCATGCGCATTTGCATGCTCTTTTTAGCGAGCCTGTTTCGCCCTCGAAGATTTATTTGTCAGATACGCTCTTTTATTTGATTTATGAAGGCGCCCCCTAACCTCCAGCCACCAGGTTCTCGGGTCGCCGATAAGCTGGAGGTTTGGGGGCTGCCCAGGAGAATTGTGTCAAACCTCTGAGCCTCAGATTCTCCCCTCAGTCCTGTCATGACTGCTGTTCGTTGTCGTCCGTGGTAGTCTGTGGTCTGTCCAGGACCTCGAACTGTTTACGTGACCACCTGTCCTTCGAGATGCCCGACAAAAGGCCACTGGATCCGCTCCAGCCAGTGCTCTACATCGACCACTGCCGCTATCGACAGACCTACAGGAAACAGGCTTTGCACCTGCATTCTTCGCTGGCGGAGGCTTTGAGGGCCATCCAGCCAAGGGTTAAGCTCCAGCTAAGGATCAACGACAAAGGTCCGCCGCAAGATGGATCCTTTGAGGTTGCAATTGCACCGCATCCCACCGATGACACCAAGGCCCGCCAGGGTGTGTGGACCGGATTGAGGAGGATGCCCAGTGCATCCAAGGTCCCCCACGTGGACGATATAATCACCCCGGTTTGTTTCGCCCTCAAACTCAGGGATCCCCACAAGGAATCGCATCGAAGGATGCTGACCAATTTGCGACACAACGAGGGCAGTCGGGCGAGGAGGAGAGAATTCATGTAAATCTTTGTAAATACATAGTTTATGTTATGAAATTATATAAAAATAGAGTTTTTCAAATAATATATAATTTATATTACATGCTTCCATTAATACAGGTGGAAAATGTTTTACAGAAAATATATTAGTGCACAAGATAAGTTTGTATACGTTTTATATGTTGCTTCCTTATTTATGCTTATAACAATTTTGAATTAAAGCTTCTATATTAATAATATTCCAATTCCTTTATTAAAGATTTTTGTAAAGCCTCAGGTATATTTTTTAAGCACAAATGTATTGCCAAAAATACTTTTGTTTTTGCTCCTATTACAGATGTCTTCCTTATAAGAAATATATTTATTCGTATTACCAATTTTACTTACTTTATAATTTAAGTATTTTCTACTTGACTAATGAGTACTTCTCTTAAAGTTAATAATAAAAAAGGGCAAACACATTTGACAGAGATGGAAATTTCTGTGCCTCGCCCTTGCCTTGAAAGTAAATTAAAAATGCCCATCAAAAGGTCAGGCTTCTCTATCCTTCTGTATCTTTACTTAAAGTTCATCTGTAAATTAAGCCAACTAAATTTCGGGGCAGACAGAGAAGATAACACTAAAGCCCGAAACTAATGAAAAGACAAACTGTGCGCCGGAGGAAAGTGCCACTTGGCGCAACTAAAGTGTGATGTGTAACTGCATACAGGCGGCAGTTATAGTTATGGCAGCGCCAAAAGATGCAAATGAAAATTGCAGAAGGCGTCCAAGGACCTCCTTCCTGCATCCCTTGTTCCCCGCCTCATTTCCTGCTCATTTTCGCCGGGGGAGCAACCAGTTAAGATTTTCGCCTCGTTGCAGGGATCTTTGAAGGAGCGACAGAAGCTCAAGTTGAGTGCTGAATTTCGGCTTCATTGCATCTGGGTGAGCACACAGTGGGTAAAAGAAGTCTGTTCCTGCGTCTGGGGAAAGGGGCAGAAAAGGGCATCGGGGGGCGGTGCATTGGCAAAGGCAAAGAACACAATAAATCCCCCTCCTTAAAGTAGTTGTATAATGTTTTCGTTGCCAAAGTATTTCGTTGCCTGTCGGCGCGTCTTTTGCCAAGGCGTCTACTTTCGTGACTTAAGTTTTCAGCACACGCATTGTGCACACACACACCGGTGCAAGCACACGCACACTCATTAATGTAAGGATCACACGCAGGATACGAAGGATACCCAGATACAGTGGCCACAAATAAACAATTGGTTTAGAGGGGAAGCTGTAGTTTTCATGTATTGTATATTTACTTATGATTTTATTACATTACTTTTCATTTTTGTATTTTTCACTTTCACTTACATTGGAAATTCGGAATTAGTAAATTATTTCTTTTGATATCAATTAGTACTAAATAAATCCCAAATAGGTATTGCACAGAGAGAAATATCCAAGAACATTGTTCTTAAATTTAGAAAATTCGTTCTGAAAAACCGTGTAAATACATTTTGGTATCAATGTTTTCAATATTAGAACGAAATGGTGAAAAGAGAAAAGATAAATTTAGTTTAGTTAAAAACTTTTAAGTATACACTACGGACTGAACTAATAGTTTATTTGTTGAGATATACAATGTACATAAATAAATATAAACATAAATATAAAATCAAAACATTTTCAACTTAAAAATGTCGTTTTATTTTTAAGAACATTTTCAACTCAGATGAGAGCGTCAGAATTTTCTCTATGTGCATTTTCCTTAACAAAAACTGTATATATATTTAGGTTTATTAATTTTTAATTATTTAAATATAATGTACAGTAAGTCTTACAAAACAAAAGTAATACAAATTTGTTATTCACTTTTATACTGTAGCTATTGTATACTATTTGTAATAAGGTTTCTGTTAAGAGTGATTCTTTGAATACCATTAAAGCCAAAACAATTTGTATCAATAAACCAAAAAGGTGTTTACTTTCGCACCTTGTTCAACGTTTTTCTGTATTCTTTATGTAAAATTACTCAACCGAAATGAGATAATAAGCCATTAATGTCGTAAAGGAAAATACAGGTTCGGTCGGGTGTGAAAATAGGCAATTGGGGATTTCCCAGAATTGAATATGATTTTATGGGGAAATCGAGTTTCTCAAAAACTTTCCATTTCCCAACGCCCACTGTGCAGCGATTCGTGTGTGAGTCCTGGAGTTCTGGCGTCCTGACAGGACGTGCTGGCCTGGTCCTGAAAGGCAGCATAAGTAGTGGAAAACGGCAGCATATTAATCTCGCAAACAACAACAGCCAAAACAATAGCAACAGCAAAGGCCACGAAGACATTGCAGCAGTACTAACTTGCACTTCTTTCTTTTCCTTTCACCAGCCAACGGAACACAAAACTAAATCGTTTGTGTGCCCCTTTCTTATTTTTATTTTCTTCACAAAGTAAATGAACTTCATTATAAGTAAAACGTCTCTGAAGTTGCTTTTCTTTGTTGGCGGCTTGCTTTCTTTTATTTTTGCATTTTGGCTTTCGGTTTCAGTGTCAGTGTTGTTAACACAAATGGGGTGTTTTGTTGGTGTCTGGCTGCCGAAGCTGTAGCCAAAAAATAAGCATGAAAAATGCTGCAGACTTCTGAGGAGACTGCAGATTTTTGACAGCAAAATAATCACGTTTTTCTTAAAGCTGGGTAAAACATAAGCTCAAATTATTATGATACTATGTAAAATTTTAGTAAGGTTTAAAAGCTTTTGTCGCTCTAGAAGCGACTTTCATTTTATGCTTTTTAGCCAGCATCTAAAACATTTTATTATTATAAAAATTAGGATAAAGTTGTCAAATTTTAATAA